AGAAGACATTAGAATCAGTCTCGAATGACTTATTTTTATAAATTTTTTACAAGATACTGACTTGTTCAAATCATTTCTGAGTCTGAGGTCTTCGACAATCTTCTTGTTGACAATCAGAAAATAAAAACAATGAAAAGTTCAAGAACTTAAAAAGAGAAGATTTTTATTTCATAACAAAATAATAGTTATTATAAAACTAATGATATTAATTAATAAAATTATAATAACATCAAAAGTTATTTTTCATTAAAAACTACATGAAAGCTAATTATATCTTTTTCATCACGTCTTCTCAAATAATTATGGTAAACAACATAATAATTATTCTTTTCTGGATAAATTGGAATTGGAAAAATAACTGTGAGGTTTGGTTGTTTAACACAAGTCTTTTTTGGTAATAAACACATTGATATTCGAGTTGCTGGACAAACAAATACAATTGGATGTTTTGTATTATTTATTGTAATGAGATAATTTGATACAAGACCTTTATTTTTAATAATTTCTGTTTGAATATGATGATATCTTTGCTGATCAAAAATACTTTGTTCAAATGGATAAACATAAACTCGATAACTACACTTCATATTTAGTCCTTCATCATCACAATCAAAAACACAACTTATTGGATTTCCTCTTTTTTTTCCATCAACAATCTCAATGAATTTTTGTTTTATTTTTATAACAACAGAATCAACAGTTGAATAAAACAATTTTTTAATTTGGAAATGAATAAGTGATTCACTTTCATCATTTTGAAGTTTTTTATAAACATTCACTTTTTGAATTGAAACTGGTTGAACTGGTTGTTTTTTTTCCTGTTTTTCTAGAGACTTCTCTTTATTTATTTCATCTGATAATAATGAGGATTTATCACATGATTGTTGGTTATGTAACAAAGAAATAGTTTGTAAACTTTTATCTTCTCTTTCTTTCATTTGACGGTCCATTTCTTTTTGTGTTTTGAGAATCATTTCATTCATTTTTTGTTCTTCTTCATTTACTTCATTTGAAGTAGTTTTTTCTCTTCTTTCAAAGTTATTCTCATTTTGTTCATCATCTGTTATTTCTTCTTGAGCAATTAGTCGAGATATGAATGGTGACCTAAAATTAAATCCATTGAAATCTCTATTCCTCAAACATAACTTTTGAGTATCACATTCACTTTTTGATCTTAATTGTCCTAATGGTTCATTTAAATAACTTCCCTTGAATCGTTCAAGCATATCTTTTTCTCCTTCAATTTCTCGTACCACTGTCCCAGTTTTTGTTGTTGTTTTATTAACTTTTGCTGCATTGGTGTCTTCAAAAAGCACTAAATCATTTTCTATCTCTTGAATTTTTGGTAACACATCATCGTCAGATGAAATTCTTTCTTTTGAGTTGTTAGAATTATCCAAATCAATTGGTCTATTTATTTGTTTATTTAGTTTCAAAGGATCTAATGAACAAGGGATATTAAAAAATTGTGCTAGTAATTCTTTAAATGAATTTAACCATTTACAAGCTTTAGAATCATATTGACTAAAAATTTCAAAGTAATGTTGAATATCAAAAATTATTATAGAATAATAATTGAATAATATATTTAAATAATTATCATTTAAAGTACATAATTCAACTGTTTTATTACACCAATTAATAAATTCATTTTGAATTGTTTGATCTTCAAACTCTTTCATAACAATTTCATTTTTGAATTGAGTATCATTATGAGTATATTTATGTTTAATAACTTGTATTAAAAAAAGAGTTAACCCATTGAGAAAAACACTTTTCATTTGATATTGTTTTTGATGAAACTCAGAAAGGATAAGAAACAACTGGAATGTATTATTCATTACCCTTTCTTTAATACTTTTATGTTCCATTTGTTCAATAGTTTTTTTTAATGTATTATGGTAAATTTCATTATGTTGTGTTTCTTCTTCCATATCTTCCTTTTTGTTTTTTTCTTTTATTTTTCTTCTTTTATTTTAAACATTTAAATTTATTATTATAAAATTATAAATAAAGTTTTTAAGGAAATTAATAATAAATTTAATTCCTTTTGTTTTATTTCATTCACTGCATATTTACTTGTCCTATCCTTTTCTACTTCTTTACAACAGAAGAGAAATCTACCATCTCTACTTTCTTTCTTTTTGTAACTTTCTTTTCTTTTTTTTTCTCTTTCTTTTCTGATTTTTCTGTTTTGGCAATTGTTGCCTCTTCATCAGCTTTTTGATCTTCCTCAGTTTTTCTAATCAATTCATCAAGATCAATAACACCTTCTCCTCCAATTCTATTATGTTGCATTCCAAGATATGCAGCCATAAAATCATCATCAACTGAACCATTTCCTCCTTTCTTTTTAGGAATATCACTAATTTCAACAATTTTACCTTTGCTTTTCTTTTTTGGTTCAGGAATTGTTTCATTTAATTTACCTAATTCATATTTGTCATCATCACTATCTTCTTCTTCTTCTCTTTTCTTTCCTTTTTTATTTTTCTTTTTAGAAGTCTTTTTAACTGCTTTTTTTGTTTCTTTATTGACTGGTTTTTTTTCTTCTTCTTCTTCACTTTCTTCATCACAACTTTCTTCTTTTTTTCCTTTTTTTGACTTTACTACTTTTTTTGCTTTTTTCTTTTCAGCTGCTCTGTTCAAGACTTCTTGAGTTTCTTGATATTCTTTCATTGCTTCATCATACTCAGCTTTTTTTTCTTTTTCCATTGTTAAGAATTTTTGTTTTTGTTCAACAGATAGTTCTTTCCATGGTTTGTTTCCTAACTCAGTATCAGCTTTATGTAATTGGAAAGCAGTAGGTGGTGGTTGTGGTTTTGATTTTTTGACTTTTTTAGGTCCTTCTTCACTTATAACTTTATGTTGTTGTTTTTTGTGTTCTTGGTGTTGTTTAGATTCAGCACGTTCTTCTTGTTGTTTAATTTTTTCCATTTTCTTATTGTAAGCAATTTTTTCTTCTTCAGTCATCATTTCAAGCTTAGCCTTTTCTTCTTCCTCCCTTTTCTTTTTCTTTTCTAATTTCTTTCTTTCTTTTTCATTAATTACTTCATCAATTTTAACCGTTTCTTCTTCTGCCATTTTTCTTTGTATTTATCAAGTTTCTTTTTTTTTATGTTTTTGAAAAACCCTGAAAGATGTTATTAGTTATTAAGTCCTGATATATAAAACAGAAACACTTTTTAATCATTTTCTTTTTTTTCAGGAAAGGATTGTTGTTTACTATTAGTTAAATTAATTCTCATACATTGAAGTAATTTTTCAGCGTATAATGGATATTGACTAAAACAATACTCTATTTGACTTCCTTTTGTTTTAAGTTTTGAGAATTGTGAAGAGGTAATAATTTTTGTAATAATTTTTTTTAAATAAGGTTCAATACTTTTAAGGTCAAAGGTTGTTATAGCATCAATATTATCTTCGATAGATAGAGTAATTTTGTCGAAATCATTGGTGATAAGCTTTGGGATAGACATTTCAAAAATAACATTTTTTGTTAATGAGAATGTTTGATTATTATTTATCATTATTTTATCAAACATCTCTTTAATTTCTTGTTTTGTTAGATATTTAAGAATATTCAATACTCCAAAACTAAATGTTTGTTTATTTCTTTTACTTAATTCTCCCCAACTGAACCATTCTAATTCAATTTTATTTTCTAATTTTGTTATTGGCATAATATTTTTTCCTCCTTTTGGAACAATTAATAATTTTATCTTTTGTTTGTTAAGTTCTTCATAATCAAAAAAATTATTCATTCCTTCTTCTAACATTATAACTGCTTCAGTATTAATATTGTCTCGTTTTTTTATGAAATTAATCCAAGGAATAATATATTCTTTCATCCATAAGTTAACATTCTTTTTATTTAGTCCAGGTATTTCTTGTTCAACAAATATTGTGTTATACTCAAAAACTAATTTTAATTCTTCAATTTCTGTTTTTGGTAAACAACACAATGAAGGAATTTCTTCACCACTTCCAGTAATACCACAAATAATCCATGACATTCTACTTTCAATATCTAACCAACATTTCTTATCTGATATTGTTAATACTTCTAATTCTTTTTCATAAGTTTGTTTTCCAATGTCAATAATATTTATAAAAAGTGAAGGTGACAGGTTATTTAATAGGTGTTTAGATTTATTGAGAAAGTTGTTTACTTGTTCTTCTTCTAAAATAGAACTTTTTAGTTCAATTTTATTATGTTTCCAATATTCATTTGTTTCTTTTAAAAATTCTTTTCTAAAGTTATTAGAAAGAGAATATTCATCGCAAATCATTTTAAATGTAGTTTTTGTTATTGCTATTTCTTTTGTTATTAATTCATTAAAAGTTGTTTTAATATTTGTTAATATATTGATGTTATTATTATTAATACTTTCTTTTATAGCCTTCACTATTGTTGAAATACAAATGACTGGTGAATAAGAAACTTTTCTTTCTTGTTTTATTTCTTTTTGTTTTTGAATAATTTTTTTTGCTTGTTTAATTATTTCAATATGTTCATATTTGTTTTCATTTTGAATGTCTTCAAATAATTCTTCAATAACTTCTTGTTTGATTGGAATTTTTCTAATTTCTATTTCAATATATTCATTTTCATTAATATGATATTTTTTTTCTGTTGGAAAAACAGTAATTTTGCTTGACTTTATTTTTTCTGCTTCCATAGGATGACAAGAAATCTCTTCGTCTTGTTTTTGTTGTTGATTAGGTGTAGTAAGAGTTGTCTCTTCTTTTCTTATTTTCAATGATGACACTGTCTGACTTTTTTCATTTTGTTGTTGTGTTAGGAGATTTTCTTCTTTTTCTTTTCTTAGATGTACATGTTGTTTTATATTTAATTCTTTTGTTCTTGTTGGAGTTTTTTGTGCTTGAAGAGAAAGTGTTGTATTGTCGTTTGTTTTAACTTCAGAAGTATTATAAGTAGATGTAATAACGTTATTATTACTGTTTCGTTTTTTACTACAAGCATTTTCTTTTTTTTCATTATCTTGAACATTTAACTTATCAAATCCTTCAATCTCAATACTCTTTTTAATATTTTCTTGGTTTTGTTCTTCTTTATCTTTTATATCTATTGGTTCTATGAATTGGTCATCATCTAATACAATAATAGTTTTATTTTTGTTTTGAATGGCTGTGATATCTTCTTCACTCGATATAGAAATTGGTTCTAAATTTGTTCCTTTATTTGTTACTGTTTTGTCTTGAAATACAGTTTTTTGTTTTTCTATTTCAGAACATGAAGAGTCTAGTTTTGGTTCAGTTATTAAAGTTACTTGTTTATTATTTTGAGTGTTTGTTGTTTTTTGAGTAGTCAAATAATAAATTTCTTCCAGTCTCTGAAAGAAATCAACAGATGAATATTTTTGTGGGTTAGATTGTGGTAGATTACAAGATTTTAATTTGTTATGAAGAGGTTCTATTATCTGTTTATTTATTGAATTATAAGGAACTGGTTCAGGACAGAGAAATGAATCAGTTGGATGTGTTTGTTTTTGGAATTCATTAAATGAAAAGAAGAAATTGTCACAACAATCTGAAATAAGCTTATTTGAATTTAAAAGAAATTCAACCATTTCACCAACCTTTAATTTAGGTTGGTCAATAAGTCCAATAACATTATTAAAACAATGTTCTACAATATATTTTTCTAACATAAAAGTGATTTGTACCATTGGTTCTGTATAATCAAAATATCGTTTTGGAGAAAATAAAAGTTGAATTTTGTTTTGGCGAAGAATATCCATTAAAGGAATAAGATATTGTTTATAATAAACATTAAGTATAATATAACTTTCACCATAATACCGATACTTTTTTCTTTTTGCATTTATTTTTTGAATTAATGAACCACAAAACCAATTAATAAAATGTGATGAAGAATAAAATAATGAATGTACATCACAAAAATAAATGTATTGTTTATCTATTAAACTACTTATATATTTTTTTGGTAAACATACTAATAAAGGAAGAAATGAACCATCAGAACATATACAAACACATACATTAGATTGTTTAGACTCTCTTTCAAGTATTCTTGGTTCATGTTCAGTTCCTCTCTTAACGTATTGAAGGATTGATGTTGGTGTTAGTTGATATCCTACTTCGTCAATAAAAAAAATAAATTCTTTTGGAATTCTATGAGTAGTAACTGAGACTAATTTATGAAAGTCATTGATAACATTCATCGGAGATGAGGTCATGACATCTTTCAATGCTACATCCATTTTGAAGTAATTTAATTTTGAACATTCAACCTGAAATAATGATTCATCAAAATTAATTTTATGAAAAATACAATAGTCTTGTACTGTGCTTGTTGTTATTGCAATCCGTTCATTATTCAATTCTTCCATAATACTAAGAAGTTGTGTTTCATTGTGTATTTTCAAAACGTTCCCAAAACCCCAACTCATTTTATTTTTTATTTATTTTTTTAATCAATTTTTATTTTTAGTTATATAAAACACAAATATTATTTCCATATAAAAAATAAACTAGCATTATTATGAAGTTAATATTTAATATTACGTTCATTTTTATCCTCGAATAGAAACATTTTTATTCATTACATCACCTTATTCTTAACATTACTATAACTTTTTTATTAAATATAAATAAAGTATATAACAGTTTTTCTTTTATTTCTTACCATTGTACATTTATTAAAATGTAATTTTAATTTTATTTGACTAGATATTAATTTGTTGTACATTATATTAACTATTTCTTAAGTTGTCAATCTATTCTTTTGTTTGAATTTCTATTCATTTTGATTATATTTTTATAGTTATTCGTTAAGAAAAAAGGTCAATTAATAGATATATCCTCA